ATGTTGTTTAAATTTTTACTATTCGTTCATCTGTTTTAAATAAAAGAAATATATTAACAGATTGATATATTAATAGAAATATATTGATAAATATATAATAATGAACTAAAATTTACAAATTATAAGTGTTACAAGAAAGTAAATAATAGTCTCAATGATGACGCATAATGCCATGCCATTTTGCATTCAGTGAAATATTTACAAATCTGTTATCATTTTTCATTAGGTAAATACAGAGGAAAAAATTAAAATCAAACAACACTGCTGAAAAGTTATTAACTAATTCTTCATGAATTATTTAGTTGAATGAAATCGATTTTAAGTTATTAAACAGTTTTTGATGTAATTTAGAAATGATAACTTGATAACTTGTCATAAATGGACAAATACGGGAACTGTTCGTGGTACATAAGTACAAATTTCTATGAAAAAACTGAATTGAAATCAAAAGCTTTTCATTTCTTTGAGTTATGTAATCAAATAGGATCATGAATGTAAAAAAAGGAGTACGTACCAAAAGTCATATGATTTGATGAAACTTGTCAAGATTGACAATCGACTGATCAGTAGCTTTGTACTTTTGAAGCATAGAAGCACTGGATAACCAGTTTCGCATAGGATTCATCAACAGTATGCAAACATAATTAGCACTAGCAGAATTGTAAGCCGATAGTTCAGTTCTTGCGTGTCAACGCCTAATCGCTCGACCAATCAGACAGTATCAGAAGATACTTACTTTATTCAACGTACGATGTAACACAATAATAACGATTTCTTTTTATGTGAAACTGCATGTACCAGACAAGAGTTGAATTCTACTTTCGACGACGTGTCACTAGAGTTCCGATAAATTTCTCATAAATCTGGTCACAAATGAGCGAGTAGGGAGGTTAGATGCGCACGGCTGAAGATACTAAGAAAAAACGGCTATCCAGTCCTTCCAGGTTCCTAATTGTGTTCTAACTGCTTTCAAATAATAATTCCAAAGAATTTTTAAGGAAACTATATGTTAAGGATTCTGCTCAGCTACCCAGAAGTAGAAAGAGAAAGTAACAATTATTGAAAATCGAAATTACGAAATTATTTTACATTGTGATTTCATACAAATTCGCACCTATCAATTTTATCGCTGAACCATGGCTTATAAGTACGAAATTAGTTTAGAAGTCAGTAGCAAGTCCCCATGAAATTCAGTACTATTTCAAGCAGACACAGGTTACATCACCATACAGGCAAGTCGACATCACACCATGAGATACAAAGTTATATTTATTCATGCGGAAGCTAAAAAAATCTGTGATCAGGGAAATTTGTGAATAATGATCCAGCTTTAGATGAGGAATACCAAGTGACGATATACTAGCTGTTGAATTGATGAAAAAATCATTATACAATGGCACGCAAATATTTATTTGTTGATCTTTCAAATCAATAGTTATGTGATAAGTTCGTATGGCATAATAATTGATAAATCAATCCAGGAATTTACTATGTTTTAAAAATTCTCTGTGATAAAACATAATGTTGATGATAAATGACGCTAAAATTTAAGGGATATATTTTTCAGCATTCCCAGATGTCTTCATCATTATAAAAGATGAAATTTAAAACAATCTCGCAACATTATACTATTCCCTCACCTGGATACTTTATTCTGTCAGCTCACATAACCATTCAGGTGTTTAAGGAATTCAAGTGACAACTTTGCTAAATTACTTACTTACTTACTTTCGCCTGTTACCCCCAATGGAGCATAGGCTGCCCACCAGTTTTCTCCAACCAACTCTGTCCTGGGCTTCCCTCTCCAGTTCTGTCCAATGTTTGTTCATTCCTCTCATATCTTTCTCTATTTCTCGGCGTAGTGTGTTCCTTGGCCTTCCTCTTTTCCTTTTGCCTTGAGGGTTCCATATGAGGGCTTGTCTAGTGACGCAGTTGGGTGCTTTTCGTAGTGTATGTCCTATCCATTTCCACCGCTTCTTCCTGATTTCCTCCTCCATTGGAATCTGACTTGTTCTCTCTCACAGTTCGTTGTTGCTGATGGTGTCTGGCCAACGAATCCGAAGTATTTTGCGTAGACAACTGTTAATAAACACTTGTATCCTCTGGATGATGGCTTTGGTAGTTCTCCATGTTTCGGCTCCATACAGTAGAACTGTCTTGACATTTGTATTGAAGATCCTGATTTTGGTTTTGTTTGAAAGTTGTTTGGAGTTCCAGATATTTTTCAACTGTAGAAATGCAGCCCTTGCTTTGCCAATCCGCGCCCTCACATCTGCGTCCGATCCACCTTTCTCGTCGATGATGCTGCCGCGATATGTGAAGGTGTTAACGTCCTCCAAGGTATCTCCATCAAGCGTGATTCGGTTGGTGCATGTTGTGTTGCATCGAAAAATTTTGCTTTTTCCTTTATGTATGTTGAGACCTACTGCTGCAGAGGCTGCTGCTACACTGGTCGTCTTCTCTTGCATTTGTTGTTGAGTGTGCGATAGAAGAGCCAGGTCATCTGCGAAGTCCAGATCGTCCAGCTGCGTCCTAACTGTCCAGTTGATACCGTGCTTCCTTCCAGATGTTGACGTCTTTATAATCCAGTCGATCACCAGGAGAAAGAGAAAGGGTGAGAGTAAGCAACCTTGCCTGACACCGGTCTTCACCTCAAAAGAGTCTGTCAGCTGACTTTTCCATAAAACTCTAGTCAGTTTATTGGTCATTCAGGTATGGCTGAAGTATGCACATATTTCTCACTCTTCTGGGAAATTAAATACATGTTCCGATAATTGTTAGTAATACTTTGTTGAGATTGTTGATATTCAAATTTTATACCGTTTATTTACTTAATTTGAATTTGAATTACCTGTCAATAAATAAATGATATGGTGTTATTTTACAAAAACCAAATTTGTTTCCCAACATTTTACGTGGGTTTTGTTTACTCTTGATTACAATCGTTTCGAATTACTAGTAAAGCAATAATATGAAATGAAATTTTTTTGCCTTGGGTAACTAACTCACACAAAGTTTTACAGAACTCGAGTCCTTACGACGCACCACTGTAACTCCTGATATTTTCTCCAGGAGGCTAATCATTGGAAAAAATGATATCCAGGATAATAAATGTCTGATCGACCCTGAATACATACATGTTGTTGTCCATACTCAAGGTTCAATGTTTCACAAAGTCTATTGCAAAAAACTGTTTTAATTGACTTTTCTTCAGAAAAAATATTCACGTATTCAGGCTGACTAATATTTCCATCTCACTAGCCTCAAATTTTTGTAAATTTACATGACCGGGCGAACCAAGTTACAATGCGATAAAGAATCGGGCAGATTTTATTTACGTTGATGAAAATGTTCACTTTGTGTCCGAACGTATTCTCATAGGTCTAAAACGCGTGTGGTCTACATATTAAGAAAAGCTAATGATGACACTTCCATTTGAAGTTTGTGCTAATGATGTTTTTCAGAAGAATAATGAAAGCTTCACAAGAAAAATATAAAGCTCAGAGAACGAAACATTATCACAATGACAGCTTCAAAATCAATAAACTTATAATTTAAAACAATTTATAAATTTTCATAGAATACGAAAGAGCTGTAATGATCTGAAAAACGTTATGTATTTACGCTATGCATTTACAATATGCACATACATGTATACTTGTCAAGGAATTTTATATGAATACTAATTAGAGGCCAAATAAATTAACGTTCAAATAGTCAATAATTTTAAATGCAAGAGAGAGAAAATTAACGTCATATAGAAAGAATAAGAAAAGGTTGGAAGTTGAAGAAGAAAGTGCATCTCAAAAAAAACGTTTTCAAAGTCAACGTATATTTTGTTTTTCGACTTATTTGAAGCAAGTTAAATTATATTTTGCAAATTATTATTACGATTTGTGAAACATTCGAACAAATAATAAATAACCTTATTTATGTTTGATTTTATGGTACAAAAATTTGTCAAATAATTATAGGTTGGTTGTCTTCAATTATGGGTGTCTCTAAGCGTTGCACATATATCCTGAAACAACTGAATTAGCAATGCTATAGTTAGGAAACGATTATTACGTGGGTATGGCAGATCAATAGATGAAGTATTGAAATTCCTTTAGATGAGGTGGTTGGAATATTTTTTATGAATACCTGACAACCGACTGCCACGACCAGCAATTTGCTGTGATGTATTATTCAGCTGAAAGAAACCTATGGGGGCCCCAATCAAAGCATGTAACAAATATATGAAGTCAATGAAAAATGACCTGAGTCATGTCAGAAGCCGTCGATTACCTAGTTAAGGTCCGAAAGATGAGCGAAATTATTCAAAATCGTTTGCAATGGCGCAGGTGCATTTATTTATTGTGTTATCTCAGGTTAAAACCTCCTTAATTTCTCATCATTCCTACCTTTCTCTTTCGAAAGTTTTCTCACGCATTTATACTTTTAAAACTTTGTCTCTGAACCAGAATCTTCTTCATTACTGCTTATATTCTATTATCCCTAACAATCTGAGATTTGAATTTCCAATGGCGTCTCTGTGCTGAGTGGTTAGAGCAACCTGAACTTACGTACTCACATACGAATTTCTACGTTGTATTTAACTTACTGACTGACTATTTTCTTTCTAAATGTTTTGAAATTGTATTTGAAATATATTTCCAGAAATTTTTCAGCTCTTCGCTTTCAAAAGATATTTTTTCTAAAATGAAATCTGTACTGCTACCTGAATTGAAATTACTAGTTTTCAAACTATTCTTTATCAGTATAATTTCATCCAATGAAATCCTATTCATTTGTCTAAGTAAACAGTCTTGACCAAGGTCACGCTGACATATTGTAACTAATATTCTTACTCTGAACATCATCATTACGCTTATACTATCCACAAGTCACAAGTCAAGCATATTGTCAATTTGTACGGAAAATTCAGATTTAGTTATTTCATTCCGATTGCAAAGAATTTCTAACAAAATACATTTTGCGCAGACTGTGGAAACGTCCCAATGAAGTCGATTTTACAAAAATCATGGCTATTGATTTTACTATTGAAATTATCACATTTTGAAATTGATGCAAAAATTACCATCGATGATAGCACAGGTCATTTTGTGGATTCACAAGGATTTGTAAAATTATTTCATGGTATCAACTGCGTGCCCAAAGTGGATCCATATTACTATCCAACATTACTTGAACCATCTTCAATGAAACAACTAACAGATTGGGGATTTAATGCTATCCGATTAGAGCTTAGTTGGTTTGCATTGAAACCATTTGAAAATGTGACCAATTCTTCATATTTAAATATAATTGAAAAAATTATTGATAATGCTGGATTATATGGAATTTATGTTATCATCGACTTACATCAAGATGGATTATCTGAACGTCTGGGAGCAATTGACTCAGCACCATATTGGTTTATGGATAAAATAAGTAGACCGTGGAAAACATTCGAATATCCTTGGCCATTAACAAAAGAACCAGGTGAATCTGACTGGTTTCTCACATATGCTACATATGAAAGTGCACATGTATTTGAAAGTATTTATCGGAATGTTTCAGGATTATGGAAATATTTTGGAGAATATTGGAGGCTGACAGTTAAGCGATTCGGAAAGAAAGAAAATGTTTTGGGGTATAATTTAATTAATGAACCTGCACCAGGAAATTATTATATCAATCCATTTCTTCTAATACCTTGTAAGTTATGTAGTATTGCTTGTGAACTGAATCAGTATTTTGAGTCTTTAAATTAGATTGAGGATTTCAATTATTTCACGAATCACACACTTGGCAGCATTGTAACTCAGGACATTAAGGTATGGCGCGCGAATGACTTACGTCTGAAACGCTGAGTCAACTGTGTTAATTTACAACTTCAGACAACCATTGTTCTTGGATGACTAAACGGTCGTTCACTTTCTCCATATTTTCAATATTAGTCCAACGTTCATCCTATCAGCACTTCAGTAGGGTAACTCAACAATCTCCGCAACCGTGAAAGATAGCTTATTACCAACCATGTTCTTCGTTTGTTGACATATACTTCATAGAATCAACTGTACTATCCATCCAAAAAGAAAGTGTAATGTACTTAGAAGAGTTCAACGTATTCTCAAGATTATGATTGTTTGTACAACCTTATCCATTTTATTATTCAATAACATTAACAGAGAACTGATGAGATTTATTGCAAAACGGTTTCTCAAAATCAATTCATCTGAAACTGAATAAAATTGACACTTGAATGGGAAACGTGAACCATTTTCTCCACAGTCAATCTAGTTTCGATTTTAGATTAGCTCTTATAGTTTTGACATGATTCGCTGATGTGTATTGATCTCATGAATTTCCATAAGAGATTTTCATCAATCGAATAATGATGTTATTTACGTGAATAAAATAACTAGTTTTAGGAATTGATATCGTGGTTTGTGACAGTGAATCGTGAACCGTTAACTAGAACCAAATATATACGTAACTGATTTTGATCAATGAAATTAATATTGTATAATTATATTTATGTAATTGATTATTCAGCAGAATTTAGTGTTTCAAAGTCGAAGATGTATAAATATTTGTCATTTTTGTCAGTTTCACATTGTTATTGCTCAGTTATTCGAAATGTTAAAAACGGTCGAGAGATGTATGCAAGAATTTATTGTAGCTAAGCAGTTCAGTGTTAATTACATTACAGAATGTAACTGTTCATGAATGGAGAAGATTTTTTTACACTAGATTTAAACAATTTTTCCTTGTCGTACAAATTTGTCTGAGCCCCTAGATTTTTAGTGTGATGTTGTTAGAAACAATTCTAACTCGTTCAAACAAAGAACCTCAAAATGTAGATTACAAACCAAATAAAGACTACTTTGAAATTCGACTCATTCATGATTGTGACTAAGATAAACTCAGATTAGAATATATTTTTTACAGTAAGTGTTTCGGGGAACCCAACACCGATGACAGTTTCTGAGTGCAATATCCTATTTACATAAAAATCGATTCAAATTCATTTTCACTCATGTATTTTGGATCACTTTCTTTACCATCAACTGATGAACAAGTTTCAATCGATCTTCTCATTTTCATTTATAATCGTCTGATTAACGCACACCTAATACCTTGCACAAACGTGAACCAGCAATCCATAGATGTTATAATAAGCTAATTCTCCTCCTTCGTCATAAACATAAGTTATCGATGAGGTTAATTTAGTGACTGCTGCATCATTGTGATGTTTCCGTTTTTTGTCTGATAGAGTAAATCATACGGTGAAACAGAAAATACTCATTCAGGAATTAACTTTTATCCTGTTTAAGTAATGGAATTTGATTTCTATTTTCAATTATTGAAATGAAATGTAACAGCTGTGAAACTCTTTATTCCATTGGTTTCAGTAAGCGTACTGAAGATTTTCACAACGTTTATGAACCTCTCTTACTCACTGTACTTCTCACATTACTTTCATTTCACATCTTCAGATTCAATCGCATTATTGTAAATTTGTTTCACAAGTGAACTTATTAATAGGAAATAATTTAACTTTAGTGTTTAAATATTTCCTGTTCATATTTGTTCAGACTACAATTAAGCATGTATATATATAAACTTACTAGGCAATCCGTTTTTTTAAGCTAATTGGGTTCCGTGAATTTATCTATAGATGCTGATAAGACTGATAAGTTTATTTTGTGAAGGTAGTTTTCTTAAATAATGGTTCATTTTATCACGCGTTTTTCTTCATTCACCTGGGTTTATAAAAAAACATAAATCTGCAAAAAATACAAATTTTAATGATTTGAATGTCAAAATATATTAAAGGACCCTTTTGATTCCTTTTTCATGCCGTCAGTCTTTGACAACCAATAATATATTTAGTAAAATTGGATATTTCATGAATCTTTGTGTAAAGAATTTAATTTCTCATCAGAATATAATACATTCAGAGATTTCACATTGTTCCAATAAGTTGTCTAAGCCAATCGACAAAATAGTTTGTTATTGTTGACAGTGACAGTAACATACAAACACCTTCTAGATTATATGCACTGCTGAAAGGAGCAATCCAACTTATTCTGCAATAACGGAACTACTTACTTGTTAGCGAATTCACAACTTTCTGCCGTATTAGAAGACTTCAAACTATTACTCACATTCTTGTGATTACTGCGCATGTGACTTCTGCGACCATCATTAGGGGAAAAAGCATTCGCTTACTAGTGATGCATGTCTCTCAGCCGAATACACATTCTGTTACCCATAACATGTGATAATGAAAATAGTTCCGTTAATTTTTTAATTCCATAAATGGTTCTTCAGTCTTAGCTTTTTCACTTTTTGTTATTTGTATTTGCACAGATAATTCAGGTCATTATTTATTGTCGTTCTATGATTATTTGGTGAATATTATTCGTGAAACAGACAACAATACATTGATATTTTACGAGAGTGTCACTTACGGGATATATTTTCCATTTGTCTATGGTATACCTGGTACTGGTATACAACGGGTTCCTGGTCTGTTACGAGATGAGACGGCTAGAAAGAAGAGTGTATTTTCTTATCATTACTACTGTTGGATACTGCAATCAAATAAAGCTACAGACGATATTCCATCATGGAAACGATATGTTTGTGAAAAAGTGAGATTCAAATACGTATTTTATTGTATGTAATACATGATTGTTGCAATGACTGGCTGTAAATTGTATGTGTAAGACCAACTTTCCTTGACTACACTTCTAATGTAATAACCAGATATGATTGTTATGTTTGTAAAAATATTTGACCAACCATATTCACGTTTGATAGATTGCGGATTAGTGGTATCTGTTTGAAATGACTGAACTAACTTAGGGAATATCATATGGGATGACCGACCGAAATCTTTTTAACAATAAAATAAAATTTACTGATTTTATCAAGTAATAACTTCCACTGTACAGATACTGACTCCTCGGAAGTGTATGTTCGTAACCCAACCAGAAAATACATGTAAATTCTTTAGTTCGTTTGCGATTTGATATCCAATTATGGACGTTTTTGACCCTGTTCAGTCAAATTCACTGTACTGAAATATCTGAACACGTTCCCCAAAGCGATAGTGAATCTTTTATTCCCCGTTACGTGGGTGTTTTTACGCACAAAACAGGCGTCAGTGCATGCTTGTAGCGATGATTGAACCAACTTTTTAAACGTTACACAGAATTAAACACAAGCTGTCAGTTGCCACCTTACTGTTGATTATAGCTTTCACGTATCAGGAGTCATAACCGCTAGGAGTAATTCAATTCCAAAGTGAGATTTTTATCATTTTTGACAGTGAATAAATCTCTGACACTGCTGAATCAATGAATCGATAATCTGTGATGCCCTGTATTTCATCTTTGAGGTTTTAGTGAATGCATTCAGTGGTTAACATTTGTGTTCCGAATTCATTAAGGATTGTGAGTTAATAACTCCTAAACCGCCATACAATATAACAAAAGGTAGTTTTATCTGGATTTCTTGTTTCCAGCAATACTTTTATTGTTGCTGATTGATGGTGGACACCAAACCATTATCATTTGAACATTTTTCAATGGCAAACAGAAACTGTCGTAATAATAACGATAATGATTACATTGATATTGTTGTAAAAATAAAAACCAAAACATTAAGATTCGTCAGAAATTCAATAAATCGATCGAACTGATTAAAAAAGAAATACAAATGGACTTGTTATTGATTACCAATGCCTTTTAAAAAGTTTCATCAACAATAATCGCAGAAACATTTCATGCTAACAATACAAATATATGTAATATAATGAGGTGTTTATTCAATCGATTGAAAATTCCTAAAAGCCATATACAAATATTCGCATTTATGTATGATGAATCATCCAAAACTATTGAAAGTTATAATAATCGGTGTGTCAGAAATCGGGCGTAGATGACTGTTTCACACTGATGAATAATGCCAAATGGTCAAGTATGACTTTTTCGCAGAAAACGTGTTCCATTTACTGACTGTATTTAGGTATTCGAATGACTATATTCCAGTCAAATCATTCGTAGAAAGTCAGTCATTGATTAGTGTAATTAAATTTGACATACTGTATTTTCTCTACTTACAACTGATAAATGCTGAATGGGTGATGTCACAGAAAAACCACTAGTGTTTCAGTAAAAGAAAAAATTTGATAGAATGACAACCAAGCTATATATTCAATGGTCAGAATATGAAAATGCCGTTGAACAAACACATTATCAACGGGAAAGTACAATAGAGTATTATTATATGTCAAAAATGTGGCTTGTTTAATTGGATATGCAAAATTCGTAATTATCAGTATAAGTACGAATCTAATTATGAGCAAGATATTGAATAGAAAAAATGCGATTTCATGAACTCACTACATCTCAGTTTATTTGAAATCTGTTAGTATTGCTATCATTTCATGAAATTTCACATTTAAACTCGTTCGTGACAATCTTGCAATGATTTATGAATAATGCAGTTTCAGTGGACCAGTAAATCGATATGGCTCTTAACAAAGCGAAACTTCACTAGTTTCATTTGTGTGAGCAGATGAAGATCCACCTCGAAATGAATAATAATAACATTTGCAACAATATTGCTTACGTGCAATCATCTTGAAAAGTTGCACGTTCTCAGTTATTTCTAATGACTAAAAACATAGCATAAAATATGTTGCTAGATAGAATAGTTAAATGCCTGATCAACAAAATTCTTGATGTTTGATTGCATTTGACGGATTTGCATGACGTTTATGGTTAATATTGTCTAAAAATATCATTTCATTCGTCTTTCATAAACATGAATACAGTCAACACGTCGTTTGTTATTTTTGTCTAGATTTTGAATTATACTTTTAGTAATGTACAAAATATAGTTGCATCCACTGGTGGTGGACGATTTTTAACGGAATTCGGTTTGTGTCTTCCTGATGGAAATCCGAATTCCATCAATACAGTTGAATGCAATGCTGTGCTGAATGCAGCTGACAGTAGCTTTGAATCATGGACCTATTGGGATGAATATGAATTGTATCCTAGTATACTAGCAGATGATTATTCCGTAAGTTTTATGAGTGTTGCATTTGTTCGTCTATGAATTCAGTAACTTTTCGTTCGATCGTATATGTTATGTTTCACAGGTTGAATAAATTTAAAATAATCTTGCTCAACAGTAACATCAGCAACATTTTAAGAAATTAGGGATACACCTGTGATCGTACGATTGTGCGCTATGATTCGTAAAGTGGACGAGTGTAGTTCAGTTTAGTTCGCGGAAATTATTAACACTCAATAAATTACATCAAAATTAAACTGGTCATTCAATTAATTGAAAAATTCAGAAAAATCTATTCGTTGATTATAAGGTTGTCGAAATGAGTGTAAATCAAGCAAATGGAGGGACACTGGTAGAATAACAGTTTACCCTCTGCTCTACTGATACTGCTTCTACTAAATTACCTTTTAGCAAAGCATTTTTACTCAGTGGTAAGTTTCATGTACAGAAATGGATGACGTTGGCAGGGATGACAGGAACTGTATTGATTGAATGATGTCAGTTTTCAGGTTATTGAAATATGAATGATATTGTATTCTGTTTTGGAAACACATCGATAACTATGAATACAAAAAGTTTCGCTTTATAATTAAGACAATTATTCCAAACTTTAGTTTTGAGAGACTGCATCCCTACAGGTACTGGTTGTAAATGGATTTTTTTCTCCAACAGTTCACTCCGTCTCCAACAGGTGCGGGTTTATACGCATTCACCCAGATCAGGAACAGAAACACAATAATTCTGGGAGGAAATAATTCTATTATTAATTAATTACCGCGATGTGTATCCGTTTCTGGAAGAATAAGTATCAAATCCTAATATAGCTGTAGCCATATTAAATATCAAATTTAAACAACATATGTACAGTTCAGAAGCAAACATGAAAACTTCAATATAAGTATAAGATATAGACATAATAACAATATACAATGATAAAATCTCAAAATGGAATCAAATAAAGTACCAAAATGTCAACAGAAAGAGCCAGTCATATCATAACACAAATATATGTAAACATGGAGGGATTTTCCAAAAAACAAAACATTCAAAACAGATTCTACACTGGTATTAAAAGTGTAATCTTGAACAAGTCCCACTGGTATCAGACATAATCAGTATGTGAAACAAGTAGTGCTTTGATTAGGTTGGATATAGTTAAGATAACATTCGTCTTATCATTACACCAGAAAAATGACAATTCTACAAGAAATGCCAAACTTTAACGACGGAATACCCTGTTGAAGTAACATTTCTTTACTCAATGTGACCACAAAATAACCGACACGTTCATTTTTGATAAATATGTCGGATTTGATTGAATAACAATGAAAGTTGGGTGAATTTTGTAATGTTTGGTTAACTGTTTCACCAGTGTACATCTCTTTACAACTCCTTCATCTTGAATAGTTACTTCGAAGTTAGCTTTTAATTAAAATGCCTGTTGATAGGGCATTACCTTCACACATTATTCGAATGACTCAGTTTGTTCCATTTTTATACAGCTCAGATCACTCAGTCGTACTTACCCACAGTCGACCGCCGGTCAGCCACTTCAACTACAATTCAATGTAGAAACAGGTGTATTCTATTATAAATTTATACCAGCCCTGAATTCTTGTAAAAATATGAACACAGAATTTTTAGTTGCAGAAATATTTGTTCCATTGTCTATTCATTATCCAAATGGAATAAGAACTCATTTCGCTCCAGAGAAATTGTATTACAGAATGCATGAAACGAATACAAATTTGATGCTTGTCTACGCATCATGTACATTGATTGATACAAATCTTAATCTTATTGAAATTACTATTTCACCAAATCAAACTGAGAATATTGCTGACTGATTAAATTCACTCTAAATTAACAATAATCTTTCTTATTTTGAAATGATTGGTATTTTAGTTTACTTTTTCTAAGCTGTTCGTTAACTATTCTAATTCATAACCGTTCATAATTTTTGGTATCAAGCTTATTTTATTTTACAAACTATTTAAACTGTAAATTAACAGAGACTATTAATAAATCTGAAATATCAAAAACCAACTGACTGATCTTTAAACTAAACGTCACATGGACATGATTGCCAATCGCCGCAATAAATGAACGTGAGCAGAATGTGATTAAATTCAGTGACCATATGGCGGGACTGTAGTGTTTCAAGCGATCATCATTATTAGTAAAATAGTGTAGTTTCCTAAACGTACCAGCCATTAGGTAATATCCAATAGAAACGTATATCAACTCTTGCCTCTTTTGATGTAATTGATTTCGTCTCGTTTCATTTCTTATTAGAATAACTACAAATCACGACGTTATGAATATTGCAATCCCATATCAGGCAACGACCACATGACTTTGATTTTCTCCACACTTTATAGGTAAATTTTCCAACAACTTCAGATGCAGAGAGATATCTCTGGTGGTTAAATCTTCATGATTTCCAAATAGGTACGTGAATTGTAATGTTCCATTAGGTAAATGAACAAAAACGAATGACGGCAAAATTACAGACTGTGGTTGTGTATAAAATCCCGCGAATGTCAGATGCCGAGGTTGTGTACTGCCGACGAGTCTTATATCAAAACAAAACAGCCGTTTTTCAGAGTTTCAAAGTTTCTTATGTTGGTGAAACAATGATTGACGGATGACTCGAAGGTGCGAAAATCCATATTGTCCATCACCATTTCAAAATAGAATAAAAGCTAAATAATTCGAAGTGATTCAACCATTATTTAACACTAGAATTAAGTGTGACTGCCGTTGACACAATTTTATAAACTGAATAGTACCAGTTTACCTAAATATTTTGAAATATTTCATGCTACAGCTAAGTAATGTTTCGGTCCAGATGTAGAGATATCTAACATTTCACGATGAAGTTGAATGATTGCTAGCCAGAGGATGAAAGTGGATAAAAAGATTATTCGATTTTGATCAGAAATATTATATTCATTGTGACCGCAAGTAAACTACTGTGTCAAACTAGTAGTAGGAATTTTCTGTTTCAGTGAAAGCTGAAAAATCCATCGGTTTTGAATATAAGTGGCTTGAATTTCAATATTGATGACATTAAATATCCCTTGTACGTAATGTGATTGACATGGATTCAGTATAAATTTCAAACGCCTTGTTATTTTTATTCATAAGACTTACAATTTTATTGACTTTATACCATGAAAAGAGCAGTTTTATGAATAAAGAATAGTCTCTTCATATAATACTTTTTAGATTCTTCAGTAAAATATTCACATTCGTATTCCAGAAAATGTATCAGCCACTACAGATAAATACATAGTTGAAAATATTAGTATTTCAGTTCGAAAATGTTTCCAAACCATAATAAAGTTTCAAATGTGGAGTTTACTGATACGAAATGTCAACGATTTATTTAAACACGTCAAGTAAAATTGCTTCAATAAAATTTAGATTAGTCGTAGAAAATTATCAGCACTTTGTTTTAGCCTAAATGTCCTTAAACCGCCTTTTTATTCTCGAATTCGTGCTATTCAGATTATATTATTATTTTAATTATTTACTGAACATGAGATCCTTGTTCATTGTGCTTTAGTACATCTTGAAGTTGAATTGTCTACTGAATAATTTGCTTAGAAGAGACGTTTTAAATTTACCACAACTATACGATAGTTAATGCTTTCATCCTTCAATGTTGTCAAAGTAAAAAGGCAATGTTTATGGTTGACCTTTTCGAAGTGAGATTATCAAAATGTGTTACTCATGGAATGCACAAAACTAAAATTAACTGTTAAAAATCAAAGTGAAATTTATTTTCATTATAAAAAATCTCAGCTTTTAGCTCATATGAATATTGCAAAAAATAGTTAGCTGAGATTCATACGTTATTCAGCAGTTCTGAGTAGTATAAAATAAGATACAAAAACAGCTGCATCTGAAGAAAATGAAAAGTATAGTGAGCTTTACCATCCTAATATTTGTAATCATACATTCACGTATAACGCAGAAAGATAAAGTGGACAAAACCTCAAATATAAAGGAACATCCGACCAGTAAAAGAAATATACAACATTATTTTTCATGTAAAATGCATAAGTTTTTGTAGTGATATTCACAGAAAAGCAACGATGGTATAAGTTTGGAAAGTTTAAATCAGGTTATCATGAATATAATAAACAGTTTTGAACGTGTTAATTCATTTTGGTCACTAGTTAGTAAACAATATTAACTGAAAAACAATACCACAGCTACTGTTATTTCATCTGATGAAATACAATCCAATCGAATTTGTTGAAAGTGAATATTATTTTCGTAAGGCGCATTCCGTTATTCAGTCAACCAATTATTACATAATTTTCATGTATTTAGAATCGCAGTGAATGCTGCCTTCCTACTACTACTACTACTACTACTACTACTAATACAAGTTACTTCATCCGATTTTCTTGATAAATGTGAACAGAAAAACATTTACCACAATAAAGTTGGGAGAACAAAATGAATTCATTGTTATTTCCTCTTTCCTTGTTTTGAAGGATGCTTTAGTGATCCTGAGTCCATGAAATTCACATCATATCAGTGCCTCTCGTGCTTGTTTGAACAGCATTAGTGCAACTCTTTGTGTATGTGAAGCATTTTCCTCTTCATGACCAGGGTATAACGGCAGTTCCCTTGAAGCTGGTCTCATTTGTCCGACTGGCTTCCAATATCTTAGAGTTGAAAGTCTCTAAATGCATCCAACATCATTAGCCAAAGAAAACTATTTCTTCCGTGGAACGTGTCCCGTTATCAGTCACAAAGTTAATAAAGCTGACTTGAAACCCGATAATAAGACTTCGTTTTTCAACTTCAGCATTTGGTACGGCCGTTTTCTTTGAGTACTCGGTATCATCGATTGAAACGTCGCTGCTCTTGAATGGTTTCTTTCTGTTCGCATTCACTATTCTTTTAAGTACAATTCCTATCACATATTAGTTAAATGTTTATTTGTTCCTGGTCATATGTTCTTGGTTCAACGCTACACGTTTGCAGTGTCGAAACCGTAAGCTTTGGAGACTGCATCCTGCCAATTTTTATGATAATAATGATCATCTGGCTAATGATTGATGTGTTGTAGAAAACACTTTTAACAAGCTGTAGCATTGACGTCCGTATGTCAGCATGTGAATTTTTTCAGCCGTATAGCTGTACGGATACTGAACTGAAGGATCACTGAACTGATATAGTCCTTCGCGCAAAAATAAACTTCGAATAACGTTGAATAAGTTAGATTTAGTAGAAAATCTCACTCAAGGTTCTCCGCGAAATCTTCGTTTTATCTGCTATCTACCGACCCAATATGATGTCGAAGCTTGATTCGGTTGAGTTGAATTGTGACCCCAAGGAACCGTGTGCTTACTAGCTCTCCTTTTTCTATTGTTAGTTTGATCCAATGAATGTCTTGTAGAACCTGTATCATTTGCTTGAGGAGGGTTTAAATTCAGATGAAAGAATGCAACTTGTCCATGCTCCTACTTCACCATGTTGTATAGAAATACTATCACTATCTTCAGCCGCATATTGTCAGATTAATAACAATGTCTTCATAGTATCAAAAAGCTTGATCTGATTTAAGACGTAGTATTGAGAGTCTGCCTTGTCTAGCTGTCTTCAGGTTGGGCTTTTCTGAAGCGCTGTGACTCTACTTCATGGAGGGGATATTTGTACTGCACACTTGGAATAGACGTTGTGACTCCCATATAGAAATAAACACATCCAACCTCAATCTGATTGACTCAGCATAAACCTTGAATTGAATAAAACACTTCACTAAATGATTGTGGGCTGTGCTTTTCCCAGTGTTTAGCACGGTAATGTAAAGTGCAGAATGAAATCTCTTGTTTTTGTTCTCTTGAGTTAACCTTATTGCACCTAATACAGTGCATCAATCAACGAATCATTCCTTATTCCAACAACAACTTACAAGTCTCTTTTTAGACAATTATCAGTTATTTGCACATTAAAATCTTCAATCAATCATTGTTTGACCATCATTAGACACCTGAAAGCACTAGATTTACCTTTCGTCTAGTTATGGGACGGATCAGCAGGCTGCGTCGGGCTTGTCGCAGGATCCGAAAATCAGATATGCTGTCCTGCAGGCGGTCGTCAAACCTATGCACCACTGGACCGGCACTGAACGATGAAAAGACTTAACTGTAATTGTTCTGCAGATATTGAGAATCCTCGCATTATTTATCTTTGAACAGTGCTATGTGGAATGCTTCCATCATCGGATGAGCCTCTGAACACCTCTCTCTCATCAACCATGTTTGTCAAATGACGAACAAACATGGTGATGATACGCCTATCTGATTTCTTCTCTTCCGCACATAATACAGCAAACAACTGCTGTGATGCCAGTCGCATCTCTCTAAATGTAGGAACTCACGCTAAATGACACTGATGACAATTATAAACGGTATCTTATCTACTAATTTTACAACTTTTGCTTAGTTATAATTAAAAAACAACGCTTCATTTACCCTAAAAAACGAAAATCGGTCTCTCTATATATGTCACAGACGCATACCTTACGTTTGCTTATTCATGTGTCTAGGAACATTGAAGACAGTCTGCCGTCAATAAAGAACCTCATGCAGTATGGCCTACTGTACATGTCTGAATTGTTATATTCTTAGCGAATGTGTACAAACAGCTAAAAAATTCATAGGTCAATTTACGTAACAACGGATGTCTCTTTGCAACTGGCGTGCAAAACAAATGTTGGTGACCTCACCGTTTTGAAAATTAACGTTCCTCAGGATTACGCTCAAACGTAAACACGTCATTTTGGAATGCTTAAACAATTACGAGTATACATTAGTCGGAATACGAGAGCGAGGATAGAGGATCCGGTGACATGACATGACACTCGAATCCGATTATCCCAACCACCATATTGAGTAAAAATAAGAAGACTTGATATGAAGTAGAACATGTGTTCTAAAAGCATCCAGAAAGTACCAGGTCCGTGTCCAGAACAGAATCTGGATATCGAGCTGCGTATACGGGACCGGGTCCTTGTACTGGTCTTGTTCAAATACGTTACAGATAATGCGTATTTATACATTTCGGTCAAAAAGGAAACGGCATTGAATTCTGTGACATTGACAGTAGGGACGGCTAATAGGAATTGACTGATTGATTTTCAGGACAACCAATCAAAACAACATCGGAGCACGTGATATTCATGTTTAGGACGACCATAAAATGGACCAGTAGGAATTAACCGACAGAAATTGACCGATAATTCTCTTAGGTAATCGAATGAATATACTAACAGTCAGTGTTCTTCGAAAACGCGTGAAAAGTTCGAATATTAGAAAGTTTATTCAATACTATATGGGGAAGATACAAATTCGGACCAAACTTTAAACTGATTTGTTTTAATTTTCAAGAAATATAAGGGTTCTCACTCAATCGGAAATCCTATCTCACCTCACATTCTAGTTGCATCCGTATATACAAGAAAAAGCTACATATCATAAAAATTGATGTCTGCGAAATTGAGGAATCCATTAAGATTGTGATAAGGTGAAAATAGAATTCATAATAGGTAAGGTGACATGATTGAAGTTTCAGGCACTTTTCCTCAAAATACTTACATTATGAAATGGTGGCGAAAACTTGTAGCCGAGGTAGATCATTGTGGTGGTGTTTCGTTCTCGGAACTGGAGCTTTCTTTGAAGTCTAATGGTTGTTCAGTTATGGAAGAAGCATGCATATGTTTTCCGCTGCTCAATGAAAACGAAACACTCGTTTCGATAATCGTCAGTTATACCTTGTGGAGGTTGTTATGATTCAAATTTTATACAGTTTATTTACTCAATTCGAATGTGAATTATCTGTCGATAAATAATTGATGCAGTGTTATTTTACAAAAACCAAATTTGTTTCTTAACATTTTACGTATGTTTTGTTTACTTTTGAATAAAATAGTTTCGAATTACTAGTAAAGCAATAATATGAAATGAAATGTAATTTTTGTCTTGTGTAACTACCTCACAACAACTTTTGCTCAACTCAACTGCTCTCGACGTATCGCGTATTAAATGTTTGATCAAATCTGAAAACATACATTTCGTTGTCCATTTAAATTGTTCAATGTTTCTGAAAGCCTATTTCAAAAACTGTTTTAATTGATTTCTATCCGGTAAAAATTATTCAAAAATCTATCCTAACTTAAACAACAGGGAAGAATAAGCAAATCAATTTTAAAACTCGTTTATCAAGAAATGCTTGCACATTCAAAGGACTCATAGTAACAGAAATCATATTTAAAAATACATTGAGCAAAGCCAACCGTTTTCAACAAATTCAGATACAGTCTACATATCTTTTTGTAATAACCTAAACGTTCTGTTTTGAAAATAAAAATGTTAAGTCCACCTATAAATAATGCCTTGTCTTTTGTTCAAATGTATGAAATCAGGCAAACACATCCAAACATGTTGTTGGATATTCAGTGTCATTCTGACTTTTAAATAGAAATATCATAGAAAGTGATGTAGAGTGGCCTGTGATCGGAATCTTTCACGTCGTAACTAATGAAATGTAAATAATTTCATTATTTTTTTTTTGTTTTAAAGTAAGGTAAAATAAGATTGTGAGGGGAATATAATTGAATTGACAACAAAATTTCGCAATGCTTTTTCATACTTTTGCATAAGCAAATAATTATTGAACATAACCGATCATAATTAACTGATTGAAGGTAGCAACATTTTTCAGAAGTAAAGACAAGTCATGTGTACTTGACATTTATATTGCAGGTAATGACAACCATTCTTGTAATTGGTGAATTTTTTTCACTTATGAAAAATTGTAAGCGGTTTACTTGGTTTTACGTGTGCCTAAAATTATTAAGTTTGACAAATTTCGTACTTCAAGTGCAAATGTTTTTTGACTGGATTTGTAATGAGAAGATGACTTGGCGTGTTCACCGAATTCGCTTCTCACATTCCTACTACTTTCACATTTAACTTGAGTAGCATTTTTGTTACACCTTATAAAATCAAGTTAGTTTGAAAACTAAAGTAAATTAATTGTTGATACATATAGATGTTTCATTGGCAAGATATAGTCAAACAGAACCGCTGTTACGAGTATGAGGGCGGTTGTCTATTCCTGGCTGCTCAATCTGTGGAGTGGTGTTGCTTGTGGAACCCGAAAAGGTAGGTAGTAAATTGTGGGTTTTGGAAATTAGGGATCATGTCCGCAGAGCGCAAGGGGCAATCGCTTGTGGCCAGTCATACGCGGCCTTTAAAAAGGCGTTTATGGAGTGACAGCGCCGCTCTTTTAACATCCTTTTTGGGCGACCAATAACGCCGAACACAGAATTCTGTGAGGTTGGGTTGAATGTGACAATTTTTGGGTCGACTTCATCTTACCCTCCCCTTCTTCTTAAAAGGCAGCTTTGCTGCAGGTTCTGGTTGTCTAAAGGAAAAAACTTACTGCTGCAACACCCCTCTGCAGTCAGCAGTACGACATTTATTCTCATCGTTCTCCAATCTATCAGCCTGACATGATAGATCCTTTATGAACGAATTTTTCATCCAATAAATTTTGGCTTGGTTATTGCGATAAGCAAGCCTGACAACCACGTTGTGGTAGCAGGTATGCTCGTGTAGCCAGAAAATTAATAAATCTTATTGTACTGAGTATTCAGTTCATTTTCGAATGTAATTATTTGAAAAACAGATAACTTTCAGGCCCCTAGGTTTTTAAAGTGACTTTACGCTCTGATTTTTGATAATTCGTTGACCATACAAACATTTATTTCTAATGATTACATAGCGTAATGTTCAATCATTAACAATGTTCACGTGCATTTCTACCAAAAATTACATAGATCATTTTATTATGCGAATTATTGTAAACAAAAAGTCTAAATCTTTCCCACAATAACAGAGTTACACTACAATACCTGTCAAAATAATGCCTAACTGCTCTACCTATGTATTTTTTCAAATTTATCGTTTTTTGAAAGCTGCATTCACAGGCATTTGTAAATGGCATTTAAAAATTCCACCGAAAATATCTGTGACAGCATCATTCCATGTTATACAATCAGGTAAAATCCAATAACGATGTTTATTTAAGTTTATTGAAACAATGAAGGAAGTAGAGATTTCATAAACCGTTGAAAATTAAGGATATCGACTTCAACTGACATGTTTCACTTTAACTACAGAGTTATTTTAAAGGTTTGTTTTCCGACCATTTGTTTCAGAATTAGACTGCTTTAAGCTTCAGTAAATGCTTATTTAGTCGCTAGATATCTCAAAATATCAAAATACTATTATCAACAAAATTTCGTCGGATTGAAGATAAAAATATAATTTTTGATAATTTCAATCGTGGATAAATGATTTGTTCATTGATTAGATCGGCACTGACTCGTAGATCTTTTTCAATGACTGTAATCTGCTCAGGAGTGGTTGAAATTGTCTGACTAACAGTAGACTAAATGTTTAGTGAGTCAGAGGTCGATGGAAGCTCATTTTTCCTAAGTCACAATGAACATTGATACTTTGGATATGAGTTTAACTCAAAAGAACACAATGTAGAATAAATAAGTTAAAAATTGTCTTTCATATTATATAACCAGAGTCAATACGTTAGAATGTTAAAAACGAATAACGACAGAGTAGAGTGTCATTCAGATAATCTTTGATTGCAATACAGGGGGCAATACTGGTATTGCTTGTTGAAATATGTCTGGTATTTCTTTTTTTTGTAAAAGTTTTAAAAGTCTTTCACCATATTCACCAACATAGATTTTCTTGACATCCTCTGATAAATACATTCCATATTTAGTTTTATACACTTTGTCAATGGTATGTAAATCAATCTGTGAAGTAATAAGAAAATTTAAAAATTACAATCTACATTTGAACTGAATGAAAAATTGTTGTTATTATGAGGCAAATACAATAATTTTTAAATTCTAAGATAATTCATAATTATGTATTAAATAGGTCCTTTGATATTCAATTGATATTCAATTTTGGACGATTGTGCAACGAGTGACAGTTCACCTATTTCTGGTTAATGTACTTAGAATCAGATGATTTTCAAAGATCAATGGTCGTTGTAATGAGGCTTATATACTGAATTCATACCCTCAACCAGGACTTTCAGTGAAGAATTAGAAGCCTCCTAATTCTTTTACAAGGAGTGATGTACGCTGAGCACCAAGACGGCAGATTTTCAGTTCATGAGTGAAATCAGCAAAATATTGTCTCGAAATTTGCGTTTTTAGTAATTTGTAAAAGAGTTACATGTATGATGCATGACATTCGAAATAAATGTACCTTGATATATCACCAGTCCAGACAAGCTTTATTGGCTAACTAATAATTATGAATTTCAAAAGGCTAGAATAAAAGAAATCACGCTGCAGGTAGAGTGGTTATATCAACTGGCTTCCGCCAGTTGTCTCAAATAAGCAGAGTACGCGAACATACATTTAGTAACCTGAAATCTCTCTTTCAAAGTAACTATCATTAGCTATTTACTTTTTTGATTTTCGCCCCTAATTCTAAGCTTAGACAACTTGCTCATTCATCTGCAACTGCGGATTTTGTTTTGCCTAGAGGGGAAATTAGGTGCATTTTGAGGAGTTTTGTACTCGCTGATGGCGCTTTTTTCTACAATGAAACTCGTCTGTGATCTTGTGTGTTTCCGCTTACACCGTGTTGTGAATAGCGTAGTGTCAGTATCTCGAGTGTTGAAATAAAAAAAATTAAAATAAATAAACATCTGTATCGCGTTCAGGATAGCTTCCGTGGTTTTCAGAGTTGACATTCCATACATGAGTATTTCGATTTCACTGCCTCAACTTGCCGGGTGTCTAGCTGAGTATGTGTGCTGTGGCTGATCATTTCAAAAGTCCATCTCTAACTATTTGTTGCACTGTTCCTCAGTAAAAGGACTGGTTTGCCTTCCTCGTTATTCAATTGCTTGTCACATCTTCCATAAGGCCACTTCGGTAAATGGTATTAGTTTCTCATGTTACTGACTTTTGCTAGAATATCCACATTATTTTGTCGTTTATTTATGATGTTCTTCATGACTTATTTGTTTGCTTCTGTATATGAGGCTCTTTTTAAATACTCGATAGATCAGTCTTCTTTTTTCATCAATGCCAGTCAAAGTATTAAGTGAGATTCATTCACGTGGATTGTGTTACTTGCAGCTCAAAACCAACCAGCTGGATGAATTCATTACTTCTTCCGTCTACCGCAAGTTATTCTTTATCGTATTCTCCTGTTCAATAAGAAGTTCGCGATAAGCTTGTATGTTGCTACAATGCGTTAGCAATGAGTTTGTTAATCATGCTAATATCTTCAAGAATGAAGTGTCACGATTGTTTAATGAAGGTTTCACAGTATAGACGTGCCTTATGAGTATCACTTTCATCTTGATCCGAAATGTTTATTGATGCAGGTTCGGTCGTTTTGTTTCTGTGTAATGTGATCGATGAGGTGGGTAAAATAATTATCAACAACAACCGGAGAGAATAAAGTTGCAGCTTATTATTCAAGAATTAGAATCTAGTGAAGCAAACTTGCAAGAAAAATATAAAGAAGATGAGACATTCAGAAGTTAAGGATTTGAGAGAACACAAATAATAGTGACACATGTTCTACTACTTTACTCCCTGAGACAAGCGTTTCGACGAAAGAAATCGCGTCTCGATTACGCTGGTATTGTTGCTAAGGCTTGTCAAGAAACGCTGCATTCTATCACCGCCTACTCTTGGTAGAGCAATGTGATTGTAACATTCAAATTCAGTAACCGAGTGAACTGGTAGAAGATTCAATCCTGGAAAGTCAGGCGCGGATTATGTTATATCGAAGAGCATGCCTTTGACAAAATTCAACATGGATTGCGAAAGTGGACATCCCTGATGGACATCACTTAAAGTAGTCACTTCCGATGACAAGTCGCCATAAGCTCTAACTCCACATAACGTGTGAAGGTGTTCCAGGAAGCTATTACACTAATAATGTACTTCTCCTTTACACCACAGATCCTCACGATCATACATGCGTCTATACTGCATTCTAGTACATTAGCTAATTACTTTCCGCGACAAAAACGTAAATCCTAACTTTCAATTGAAAATTAATTTGCTGACAGGAAAACTCATCAACGAATCAGCCTTCTTTTTACATTTTTATTCAAAGATTCTGCTCCATTTTTTCACAGCCCAAAGATTCTTTACTAGGTAGCCGCAAATCACTGGATTTCAAATATGAGTACATCTGCTGAATGAAACATTAGATTGAAAAAAGCGCAATTTTTCTCATTTATTTTAATCTAAATTGAGCCAACAAGATACAAATTTTAAAAAGTTCTTATTTATATTGAATAAACTCACTTCTGATCGTAATAACAACAGACGTTGTAAACTTAAAAAATCAGTCAGTTCTTTATGCAGTTCATCATGAATTATTGTAGCAAAGTATAATGGTTTGTTGATAGAATAATTATCTGTAATGCAATAGTCGTGAATTTAACTTATTATGATTGTACAATGTTAACGAAAAGAAAATGCTGTGATTCTATGTCACATGATAGACAGATAAGACGAGGCATTTTATCCCAAATAACACAGAGATTAAACAAAAACATACTGAATATAATGCGCTTTTTGACTATTATTTGAGTAAAGTGAATATTTTTTTTTAATTATTTTCCGAAAATATATTCTTCACAGAAATATGCACAATTTCTTTTCTTAGGTGATTGATAGTTTGGAACTTTATTATTCATTTACTTTCACTATTTTATTCAGTTTATTTAACATTAAGTACTTGAAGTTTCGATGTATAAACTAAGCTACAAAGAATTTTCATCATTACGATTAGCTTACACATCATAAGTATGTATCTTCAATCCTAAATTTCACAAACAGAATCCACTAGGTTAGCAAAAGAAGAATCTTGGATCCCTAGCGGTTTCGTAGATTCATTTTGTGAAATGCTGTTCTTACTTGAGATCACAATCAAACAAAAGTGATATTTTCCCTAACGAACGAAATAAAATGAAGTTAATCTATTGACGATGTTAGATTTCCCGAACTCGCTTGATAGATATCTTTATTTTGGATTTATTTCATGGACTGATCAGTCGACCGCTAGATCACAGTTTCCACCAAGGAAGTTCTTGGCTTTGATTGATAACAGTGTCATTTCGGTGTGCTTTTTTGTGATTGTCACAAGAACGTCTCTTTAGAGTATGAATAAACGCTATTTCAAAGCTTGGGTTCATTGTGTGCCAATCGGCTGTTTGTAGAATACAATTTCTACACTATATCAAGAGTTCTAAATGATTCGTTTGATCACGAGATCACAGTAACCTACCTGGACGCTGGTTTATTGTTTGTTTTCGTTATTCAACCATGGTGAACTCGTAATAGTTTAAGCATACTGAGAGTGGAGCGTAACAAAATCACGTTTGATTAGAAAAGAATAAGATCATTGTTCAGTGGAGTGAATATAGCGGAGCTCATTGCTGTTTATTGAATATCTTGTATGGAAAACAAGTCAAAATTACGGTAAACAAGACAAACGAACAGTTCTAAATGAAAAATACCTTTGGATACTACATTTTTATCCTAGTTCCAGCTGATCCTGTTGATCGCAAGATGGATAGAAGCTTCACAACAAGAATACGTAGTTGCAAGAACTAAATTCTATCAGATTTAGGGTTATATACACAGCTTACATTCCATTTTTCAACTTATCAAACAATATGAAAAAAATTGTAAAATTCATTTAAGTACTAGATCTTTTCCTGGATTTATCATACTTACATAGGGCGACCAATACATTATGAATAGGACCAATTGTTTTTGCTTGAAAAATTTCGAAGATTGAAGGATAGATTTCCTTAGAAATAATATAGAAACGAAAAAACCAGTAAACGTTATGAATAATAAAGCAAATGTGTGTGCCTAATTATAAATACACTGTGAACGAATTAAAATTTTTAAAGTCATACTTGATGATCTGTACTTGTGTACACATTTAATTCTCCAAGCCTTGAACGTTGAAATACTATGTCCAATGTTTCGAATTCGAATGGATTAAGTTTACACAAAATTTCACCAAGTTGCTCTGCTTTCACTTCACTAAAAAATTTTAACAGAGTGAACATCATATATAAGTACATTATCATAAGTTTATTTAAAAGTGCTTTAGAATATTTAGCTAAAAATGCTAGTGACATACACATTTGGATTTATTACAAACTACAACTTCCAGTTGCAAAGTATTAATTGCTTTCAGTGCACATATGAAAATCCTCAACCAACCTTATTAGACCATCATTGGGAATTTGAAAACACTGAACGGCTGTGTTCGTCCTGGTATAGGACACAACAACTGTGTGCATCGACGACTACTGCATCTCGCTTGGTCCGAAACTAAGTCTCTTGGTCTTGCGCGTGGACGTTACCTCTGGGCCATTGAGCTGGCCTCCAATGATGGACTAACAATGAGTGATTGATGATATGATTGTTGTAAAGACAATAATCTACATAGGTTAAATTGGAAGGATTTTGTATACATCAAAAGATGTATACATCTCACATAACATCATTACCTAAGTGAATAGTAATTGCTTGGAACAGCGCTGATGTTTGATGATAATCAAAATTTAAGTTATGTAAGCCTAAATTTGACAATAAACATTGAATGTGAGAAATATTTTCTGAACTGTAATCAATAATCAAGGTGTAATGTATGATTAGAGAATGTGCTGTAAGGACGAAAACAGCCTAATGAAATAAAGTTGTAATTTGTTAACGAATCTCTTCTCACAAGATTAGATTTTCTTGAATAAAATGACGAACTGATGAGCGAACTGGATGCAGGTTCATACTAAGTGAAAGTTAAAAAGAAAATATTTTGTATTGTATATATAGGTGATGAACAGTCATTCTCGAAAAAACCATGAATCGTGATTTCGTCATTACTGATAATAAAAATAGTAGGCAACGACAGGAAACGTAGGAAATAATATCAAGGCTATTTTGAATCGTTATAACTGTTAACGTACTTGGAATGTGACACGTTCATAAGGTCATTAAACGCCTTTAAAACGACGCTCTCGTTAACAATTGGCTTACCACCTCGACCTTTAACAGGATATTCCTGTTGAGGTTCAATTTTTCTTGTTTCAACAACGCATCGTAAAACAGATTCAACTGATTTTCCAAACTTTTTCCCAATAGAATTCCATAGAGACTCCGAGGCAGCTGCGATGTACAAAGGAACTTTTACAAACATTTTATTATTTTGCTAACTGAACAATAAAAGCATAGTATTTGATTGATACTGACTTGATAAATTTTGATTTAAATTAAAAGTTACATTTTTCCCAACAAAAATTGTGCAAAACACTAAGTCCTAGTTGTTCAACACTTTCTGGATTTCAGTTGAATGTATGATTTGTAAACAAATCTGGAAATAGATTTGTTGTATACTTGTTAAGCATGAACTTTCGATTGAGGATTTATCTCATTATCAAACCATCAATCTTTAGTTTAACATTATTTTATCTTTTCAACTGGGTTGTGAAATCTATGTTTAAAAGCTGATCACATATAAGGAATTCTGGTCTTATGATGAGAAAATATCAGCTGCGTGATTATCAATCGTTCTATGTCACTGTTATCAATATGAGATTCTTTGAATATAATAAAAATGATTAGGTATTTAAATTATATTGTAGACCATTTATTTGTACAAAGTGAAAAACGTAACATCTACTAAAATGCAACAATATTTATTTCAAAGATACATTTGTGAGATTACGCACTTCTAAAACGTGTGCAACGATTCATACTCGTATTACGGTTGAATAGAAACTAAACCCGGAGTGACAATATGTACAGTTTTTGCCTGGAAGTTATAACATCAAAAATTTACTCACATAATTTATAGATTTTTTCCACTTCATTAAATTCTTCACCCCAGAAATCAATCAATATACTAGTTATCCTTTTTAAATCTGATAAAATAACTGCTTTGTTTAATTCTCCACCTAATATATTCGATGAATCGGTCAACAGATCTTGAAATAAAACATACACTAAATTTGACTTGATATTTTCATTTTCGTTGAGTAAAGACTAAAAATTAAGTACAATTGTGGAGCTCATGATATTTTTATGATCAAACATGAAAGAGATACTTTTAAGTTATGAAGGCAGAAATAAATTTACCAAATATATATTACTAAACTGCGTTGTGTTGAAGTGATTTAAGCGAGATTGTTTCATATCTAGTTCAGATAACGTTATGATCAGATATTGATATTCAGATATCAGATATTGATATTACAGCCTACTTGTCCGAGTCTAAGCAATAACAGTGTAGTGCGGAGATATTCAGCTCAAAAAAAATAAGAGATAACATTTTCACTTGTAATGGTAGTCACTACCAAACCCTGTTTAAAACATATCAAGATATTTTTTGATCTATAAATTATTCAAAACTATCAGACATTTCATGTATCTAGAAGTTTAAAGAAAGTCAACTTGTAGAATGTATTCACATAACTGTGTCACAAGCCACTACTCTTATGCCAAAAATACATATATACATTCGTCATGAATACTGAAAAGACTTCAGTCGCAACAATGATACTTGTGCACTGTTGCGACAATGCTTGCAATGAAAACAGCAGTTATTTGAGGTGTGATTTTGGAATTTATATATATTGTAGAGCTCAGGAAAAGAAGTCACCGACTTAAAAAAACTTTTTCTTCACTTATTATTATCAAGGAGCTTACGTATTTTCAAAGAAAACGAAGTTGGTTTTAGATGACTTATTATTTTGTTACAGGATATAATCTAGATAACACTCCACAGACTATCAAGGGTCTTTTAATATCCAAGTTAAAATACTTCTTATTCATATTTATGATATCAATCAATAGTGTCTTTAAGAAGCCTAAACATCTGACCAGTTGAAAAGGAGTTATTAACTGTAAGCCTATCGAAGTAACGATTCCTTCATTGACAATATGAATACAAAAGCTATCATTCATTAGTAGATATAAGCAGTTCTGAACATACCTTTCTCAAGACACTGTTGTATTTCTCTTTGATGTTTTGTCTTTCAGCGTTTGTTCTAGATAACAGTAGATCTACAATCATATCCGTTTTATGATCTATGATGTATGGAAAATGAATGACATTATACACAATTATATATATGAACCAAACGTTTGCTTTCAAACAAGTATTCATAGCAGTCAGCTTTCTTAAACAGAAATAAGCTTTTCATCTATAATTTAAGTACCATACATTGTTAAAAACTAAAGTTTAAGATATTCAAGAGTTTGTGGACATTACTAAATTTAATTGATTCAAATTATGGTCTATTCAATTTAGATAGCACTAGAAAACTGCACTGAAAAAGTATGAAATACCTATGAATTATTAAACCTTAGCTTCATTACAGACAATCAATTCTAAGACATTTATTCTCCCATGATAACATTCTATCTTTCAACAGCTTTGTTAGCATCAAGTCCTCATTTTTTCTACTTTTATCCATAAGGGACGCTAGGTATTTAATTTCGCTTTTCCGCAGTTATTAACTATCACATAACTCTGATATCATACTTAACTAGGTTGGTGCGACTTGATTTCTAAGTGTACATATACTTATATGTCAAAAATTATTTTCAATTCGGCATTATGTATGCGTACCAAAAACACTCTATATAGGTTTATTGTAATTTCCTGTTGATTGAGTAAAAATCAAAAATTTCAAAGCTGAAGGGATCAACAATGATGTGCATGAATTTATCATTACTGTCTACAAATTTTTCACTTATCAATATTGTTTGAAGACGTCTGAGAACACTGGTTGGCGTCTTTAGCTCCATAAGTTGTGACAGGCGTAAGTAAGTACGTAAGTAAGTTCATACTTGATTAACCCAGAGGTCACAATGTAAATAGTCAAATCTCATGAGATGCAACTTTACCGTTGTTAAACAAAATGTACTATGTATATAAGGTTTATAAACAAAAATGAAATGTAGAAAGATAGTTGTTTGCACAATCGATAATTGACAATCCATCATGTTATATTATGTTTCCTTTGCTTAACCTATAAGCAACTGCATGTTTGCACTTAGCTGGAAATATTCTGATTTTACGATTCATAAACGAACGGTAAACTAATCAATAGAAAATTTATATGATACAGATATTCAAAGGATTTGGGTTAAGATGACGCACAAATTCAATTACATCAGATTGGATTCACTAACATTCTTAACATAACGCTGCAGATTAGTCATTTAAGTTATCTTAAATAAACGTACTTTGATTAGTTATCTGATAATTTCAACTAAGGTGATTTATACAAATATTATATATTAAAAATATCAATATTGAGAATTTCGATTTTTGTAAACATTAATAAATTTTTAAACAGTTACGATAGGCTAACTTGGAATAATATATGTGATACCTGATGAGAACGGACCTAAAAGCCAAACTTTTTCACAAATATCAGTTTGCATAAACATCAGAGCTTAAAATTGACGGAATGATGTCCAATCACACTTGACGATAGGATGCAGATCGGATTTTAAAAATTTTAAAACCAAACTAATGTTTTAGATTTTATAAATAGTACTGTTATACAAATACTAGTAGTTTCACATTGAAATACACACTCGAACGGTACAATAATTAAAAGCATTGTTCATGTATTTGACATACCACATACTAGACTTACAAGCATTCATATACGCCAATAAATTGTTTAGTTTATCTGGGCACCTACCCACATATTCCTGTCACCTGCACCTTCGACCTACTCTGTACACAGCCTTATTTTACCGTTGGTTCAAGTTTCTTACAGTCGCAAGGAATTCTTATGTCTACGTTCCTCTCATCGATATGAGGTCTTGCCTTGAGACGCCGTTGAGTGTGTTTCTCAATATGTGTCTTACCTTGCTCCAAAGGATGTTCCGTTTTTCTTCGCTGCGAGATGATGATTTCTTCTTCTACAGTAGGTTGTTGTTGAAGACGTCTCGCAATCGGACACTTAGTTTTTTGCTTACTCGACTAGAAATTAATATTTTTATACTTTGGACGATGATCTTTTTGATTCCTGAAGATTCTGCCTCTTGCCAATGATCCAATCTGACAACAGTTTTGGTAATTCTGGGATTCCTGTTGGTTAACGGATTTTTCCTTACACATTTTTTACATAGTGAATATGATGATTGTGCCTTGTCCATCTGTGGCTTTACTTCAGAATGAGACCACAGCTTAACAATATAGATCTTAGTATGAAAGCTGATTCTACATCCCTGAAAGCTTTTCTGTCGACCGTCATTTT